CGAAAAGACATTCGTTTGGTAATGCTATCATTTTGAGATTTTTACTTTTAGGTTTAACGGAAGAAGTTGATATGGGAAGTATCGATCTTTTTTTTTCTAAAAATAGATAATACGTAAGTAGTACGTATGTACGTACCTGTGCTATCATATGATAAACCGCCATTGATGCTTTTATTAGGTACATTTAGTTATACGTATTATGAATTATTAGCCGATAGAATAGATACGTATAATATACTACAGTTCATAGAAGGACTTTTGGCTAATGTAAATCAATTACCTGGGTAACTAATTTACATGGTTTAAAGTACTTTTTTAAACTGCAAAGTTTCACCATTTTATCTACGAAAGATTTTTTTTTTTTTTATAATTAGTTTCAGAAGACCATTGCATTCAACTATGAAAAATGATCTTAAAATAATCTAAAAAACAAGAAACTTACCTAGAAACCAAGATTATTAGGTGTATTATTAATCAAGCGATCAGTAAAATGGAAAAAAGGCAACTAAGAATGTTTTTTCCGAAGGCCAAACTAACAAAACATTGCTAAAATTATTATTAACTTTAAGCGATGCTTCTGTTTTTTACTTTATTTAGAATAAAAAATATGCTACTGTCTATTGGGTTATACGAAATTATATTGCGAAATAAAGGCAACTAAAATGTTAAAAATATTTTCGGTTAAAATTTATATTACACAAATTTTTATTGCAGTTTTAATTTAAATAGGTACAAATGAATCTTTAGTACATAGTAGATCTGGGTTTATTGTTGAACTTTGTTCGATTTTTGTACTTTTAGTGTGAATTTATCAACTGTAAATTAAAGTTTTAGTCGAATCTTTATATCTTGTAGATTCTTTAATAAGTTCGGTTGTTTAACAATAAATATCTTATTTTCCACTTTATGTCTATCTATTTATTTTGCAAATATATGTGATAAATACTTATATATATATTATTAAATGATAAGTTTCTTGATATAAATTTTTTTTTTCATTTTCTAATAATATTTACAGTATTAAAACGTTTGTGGTAGATTTATAAAAATTAACCAATCATAAAATGTCTTCTCATTATACTATAGCGGGCTTTGGCTGATTTTTGCAGATCATTTCGTGACATTGTAAAATATGATTGGTTAATCGATAATCAAAAATCGGTTAACGTTAAGATTGTTTATATATAGCTATATTGTAACAAAATATTTTATATAAGGCAAAATTGGCCTTACTATGATATCTCACAATTAAGATTCTAAGAGCATAAGCCTAGTACAAACAAGATCCTATATACATATCAAAGGCTTTACTAAATACATACATAGATTAAAAAAAAAAATAGAAATGAGTGTTGCTAAAAGAATACCCGAAAATTTAAATATAACTTATATTTAAATCTTCGGGTTTTCTTTTAGCGACACTCAAATAATAAAAAAATAAATATACAGAAGTACAAAAAACACACTAAAAACATATAAATCAATCTTAATCGAAATACTAGTTTTATTGACATCAAACTATTTGACCCTAATAACCTTAATAATAATCAGTGTGACATCACATTCTAATTTCGAAATTTACAAAATTACACTTCATTATTTCGTGTTGCTAGCTGTTACTAAATTATTTCACTACCTCGTGTTACTAGGCTTGGTACTAAATTATTTCACTAAACTATATTACTGGTGGTACCTGTCTTGGGATTATAAATAAAACATAATAAAACAAATTAGCGAAAATAACTCTTTCAGAATCAAATTACTAAACTTAATACAGTAATAGATTTGTATATCATATTTATGACTTATTGACTAAATTGAAATGTTCAGACATACCTCTTTTCTAATTTCCGAATTACTTCGGCAGTTTATAAAGTAAGACGTGAACTTTCTAATTATTTTTGTCTTACCTTTCCTGAATTCATATTCGTGACGGCTTTATTATGAAAGGTGATCTGCAAAAATCAGCAAACCACAATAAAGCTCGCTATGCTACAGTATAGCTAATACGTAGGCGTAATCAGTGAAATTCAATTTTGACTTAATGTTCTTACTAAGAACATTTTTTAAGTCTTTAATATTCTAAAAATTTTTTAATAGTACTCAATATAGAAAAAGTAAATCTGTATAATATTAAAAAAATCCATTTAATGTTCTCAGATAGAGAACATATTTTAATAAATATGTTCTTAAAATTTGATTAGTATACTGGAGAACAGTGAGAACATTGAATTTTTCACACTCTGGGTGTAATAGCTAGCGATCATACCTAGCCACATAAAACGTATAAATATTTCTCAGGTAATAGATAGTTTCTTGAAATTCAATAACTAATACAAAAAATAATGGTGTCGTCATAAGCATGACTGAAGTTCTCTCCTATTGGCTATCACGTCTTGTGATTTTTTTCAAATGTGATTGGCCAAATGCAAATGTTATATGACATTTAATTATAAAGAAGATATGTCATATGGTAGTACATCAAAAAAAAGACGGTTTTCTATGAAACTTTACCAGCTCGTTTTAAAGTAGTTATGTAAACTAACTATAAAAAACCATCCAAAAGATCCATCAACTGCAAAACTTTATTATATGTAAGTTTTTATATTAAATTAATAATAGGAATATGCAAAAATGCAAAAAACTCATTAAAATATGAAGGTAGTTATTGTTAGTATTTTAAATTGTGAATTAGGTTTATTGGCTTTTTGTTTTTTTAATTACATTTACCAATGATCTATTTGATTAATTTCTAATAGTTCAGATGAAATATCCAATATCTCTTTTATTTCTTTAGAATTTTCTTCTTCTTTTTCTGTATTATAATTATCATCATCAAAATCCTTTTTTGTAAGTTTGTTCACTCCTTTTTCAATCTGATATAGAAGTTTATTGATATTCTTGAAAATTCCTTTTTTGTAGAACTCCTCACAATAATTACATCTTCTATTATAACAACCTATATGGTAATCATGCTTACATATAAGGACTATTTTAGCATTATTGACAAGTGAAAGTTTACATTAATCGCATGATTCCAGTTGTGATGGATATGATATACTATATGTCATTAGTAAACTTCATAAGTCTATTTTTTCTTTCAAGATAACAAGTTTGTATATTTTTGAAGATTTTTTTTATATATTTTCAGAGAGTTTCTTTTTTTTATTTTTTAGTTTTTTTTGTAAATATTGGAATGCTCTTTCCACAATTATAATATATTTTTTAGAAATATTTTAATAAAAAAAGACTAGTCTTATTTGTCAAATAACTGAGCATTAGTGAAGTATACTAGTATCGTCATGTCTTGCAATACATATTTTTGAATATAAAATTATAGTTCATAATTACATAAGCCTGTTTGATAATATTATCAGTTGTTGAATTTGGAAAGATATTTGCTCTAATATAGCTATAGGTATTTTCAACATAATACTCATTGAAACTTGTCAAATAGTTCTGAATTGGATAAAAAAAAAGGGTTATTGGTATCTTTCCAATAAAATAAGTCTGATAAAAACATAAGGAGGGTTTTATTATAATTTTTTCTTTTCCAACACAGAGTAAATGTCTAAATACAGAAAAACATCTTGATGTACTTATCAAATAAACCTTCCTAAAACAAAATTGTATAAACATCTAAGATTGCAGAAACCAAATTATCAAACAAATCAATTGTAGTTCTGAACTCAATATCCTTGCAGGTTTTGCCAAACTTACTTAAGATTCTATCTTTAATTTTAATCCATCCACATCATTCTAGTTTTAACAAAAGATTTATTCTCTATGGGCAAGGCTTTTTAGTCAATTTCTTATGCTTACCAAATACAAAGTAAAATAGTTGATTAAAAAAAAGATAATATCTTAGCAAAACTTGTTTATGACTATTTAATGACAAATGCAGTAGGTCTAACATAGGCAAAAATCCTTTAATATCTTGTAAGACTGGTTATATGTACAATGCTTTTGAATAAAAATTTAGACAGGCCAGTCTGCAACAACTGGCATGACTTGTTTATTAATATTGTTATTTATTAATAAGATTAGTTTTAACATATTAAGGTAATCATTTACAGAGTATAACTACTGTTCTTGAAATTCAATTAACTGAAGCCCTTTTATTGATCATTTCTCTTTCCTTTGTCAATGTGATCATCATAATAATGTACAGTTAATGTTTCAATTCTATCAAGTTTATTAGTAATTATATTTATTTGTATAATTTACTGGTATTCTGAATATGAAACATTGAATACTCTAGTGTATTGATTAATTAAGTACTAGCAAACTCTTAATGCTTCAATATTTTCTGAGTTATTAATTGACATACCATTATGAATAAGTAATATAGAATAATATTTAATAGGTTTTACCACATATGTAGTAAAATGTCTCACAGTTGATGTTGAAACTGTATCTGGTCTACAATTTTTATAGATTGCATGATAATTATCGATATTATAAACATAAAAAGTATTTTTCTAGAAAAAAAAAAAAACTAATTTAATATATTGTATTTTTTTTTGTTAATTTATAGTAACATTACATTGTCTATAAAATATTGCTTAATTTTTACTATATGGTTTTTTTTAATATTATTACGAAATTCATCTACTGTTCTAGCATATGCAGAATAGCCCAAACTTGACATTGTATCAATTGCTTTCCATATTGCACCTGATACCATTAAGTATAATCCAACTTCTATTTTATGCTAGTTTATGAATTTATTTCTTAAACTAGCTATCATATAACATAGTCCAACAATTGTTTTTTTAGATTTATTTATGCTATAAGCTGAACACTCTTTAGGAATAATCATATTTACTAAATTATTAAAAAAACCTTTAAGTTGGGAATTAGCATCCTCAATCATCTATTCAAAATCTATTGGATCTAATTGTAACTCAACACATTTTTGATATTGTTTATAATATAATACATTTGTTAATATTTGTATATTTGAAGCGAAAGTAAAGTTTATATTATTTTTATTTGATTTAGATTCTATTTATACTAGTACTTTCTGTTGGTGTTCTTACTGCTACTGTTTGTATTGCAGATTCTGCTGCTGCAGTTGCTGCTACTGTTACTGATCTGGTTGCTACTATTGCTGATTTGGCTGATTTTGAGATGATTATTGTTTATAAACTTTTTTTTTTTTGTTTATTTCTTCATTGATTTCTATCAACTTCTACTATCTTAAAGTAGTGCGAGTAGCAAAGTTAATCTCCAACCTTAAGGTAAGAATATATTTCTAAGGTTCATTTCTTATTACATTTCTTATAAAACAAGTTCTGTAATTACACGAAATCTAACACAAGTAATTTTATAATCAGTTATTGCACAGAGACCACAGTTTTCTGTTCTCATAAATGACTTAAAATTTTTTTTTACTATTTTATATTCATTATATACCATTGTATTGGCCAATCATATTTAAAAAAAATTACAAAACATGATAGCCAATAGGTAAGAACTTCAGTCATGCTGTCATTATACACAATAACTCTGCTAAATCAAACACTAGTACAACTCATATATTTTTATATACACTTAGTATTGCCTATTTAATTAATGCATAGACAAAGAATTTGATTTATATAAACATGGCATTTGGTATTAATCATATAGGAGTGAGTTAACAGAAACGCACAGATTTAGTTTTTTTAAAAAATGAGTTTTTGCAATATATAAATATATATTACTATAAAGAATAAATTTTATCAATAAAATTTTTTAATTTATTTAATAAATATACATTTAAAAAATGATTTAAAATATAATTATATAAAAATTTCATAAAATCGATTTTAGATTAATTGTAAATCGATCTCAGATCGATATTAGGTTCAGATGCTGATCAAATCATATGACATACATATTTGTGCAACAATGTTAAGTGTTTTAGTAGAAACACACCATAGTCTAAAAATAGATTTTTATGTATTGATCTACATACTGCATAAATTGTATTCTTGATATCTAAATAACCTACTAACCCTAACTGTATCAAAAAGGTACTTCTAGATACATCAAAAATGAATATTTTTTCAATCTAGCTTCAAAAACCCCTAAAAATAGCAATAGATTCTTGTAGCAGGTAGCAGTAGGCATACAGTACATGCATAGTAATAGCACTTATTCTAGGATTAAAATATTAGCTTCTGGTTAAACTAATCTTTTGATTTAAATTTAGTATTTAAAAATTAATTAGATATGAGTTTTATTATCAAAAAATATTACAGATACAATATGTAGCAAGCATTATTCAAACTCTAAAAACTGAAGTAATTATTTTACTAGGTAATCTTTAATAACATGAACAGTTTTATTAACTAAACTTTGTTTTGCTATTTTAGTCTTTGGCTAATAATTTTTGGCTAACCAAAATTTTTTCACTAGGCAAATTACTTTTAATATTCTTACATGCATACTATAATATAAAACTATAATGCTATAATGACAAGATTATGCAATAGAGATTGGAATCGCAAAAAATTTGTTAACTTAACTGCATTATATTATATGATTAATTATATTTAATCATTCAATATTATGTGTACCTATCGAGTCTAAAATTCTAAGTGCTCAAAAAACTAAATATAGCTGCAATCTATTGCAAATTTCAACTGCAATCTTTGTATTGAATTAATAATCATCAAAGGTCTGACCATTTATTATTTTATTAATAATAACACCAAAAGGCCATTTGCCTGATAAGACTTCAGAAATAATATAGAGCAAACACAAAAACATTATATGAAACATATACATTTTTCTTTTTATACAATCCTAGGTCTGTGATATAAGATTGTATATTTTTATTAGTTGGTACCACTATGAAATTATTCTGACAGTCATGAATACTACCATAGTGTACTGATCAAAGTACCTGAGATACAATACAATCCACCCAGAAAAAACTTACAAAAGACTCAGATCTATTGTACTATTATGGGTCTGTGTTACAAGAAAAAAAATTTCAAGCATATACATGTTTTGCACTTACAATAACCAGTTTAAAAATTTAAAAAAACTCATATTTAATTAATAGAGACCTCATGTTTTGTGCAGAGTATTTTGAAAGTAGCATATGCAAAAAGGGTAGTACTTTGGTTAGTGCACTATGATATCTATTTGATAGTTTAGCCAGCCATGCAAGTTTACTAATATTTTCAAAAAAAAATTTAAAAACTTCTATTATTAGCATTCTGAAATATCATAAATTAGTTCAATAAATTATTAATAAATTACTATACAAATCAATAAATTAACTTACTTCCCTTAAAAAATTAAAATTGTTTTCTTTAAAACTGATCAATATCTTAAGTAACAATACTGGATGGTTTACACATTTTTATATAATTATTATCAGCTTTTTGTATTGAGTTGCTGAAATATATATGGTCAAATTCTTGCCAATTTTTTTAATATTGAATGAAATCCAATCAATTACATTTTTATATTTAAGGTTTTAAGCTGAAATTCTCTACAATTATTGATATTCTCATTTCTACTAATACACTCTTGAATAGTTATATCAAAACCACATAGTAGGCACTATGATTTAAACATATTATCTTTATTACAAAGAGTATTAAAAACTGAAACTGATTCTTTTAATGTGTTTAGTTAAATAGATGCAAATTAATAATTGATTTATAATACTAATCTCTATCACATTCATATATACTGATACTAATAATATTTTTTTTTGGGAAATTCAATCAATTAATTAACTGTTTAACTATATAAAATTAAATGTGACTAAACGAATCTCTATAATGTATGTCACATAATACAAAAACCTACTTTTTGTTTTATATAAAAGGTAAATCATTATAATCATATTTATAGCAGAAGCCTATTTTAATAATAGCATACAATCTCAATGAATATTAAAAACCATCTAATATTTGATAGTATTTTTGCAGAAACATATAGAGAATTAGAAAGTTTAAATAATGAACTAATTTAATTATATAGTTCTTATCAATCTACATATAACTCAAATGATGAGAATAAGGATACTGATATTTCATATTCAAAAATAAAAATTATAAAAATTTATCTTCAATAGAGAATAAATATAATAATAGTAATTTGATAACATATTTACTTCTGATCAAATAGATAATTTTTATAAATTATACTTATTATTTCCAATACAAAATATAATAGAGTATCAAAATACTCGTACCAAAAAATTAGAAAAACAAGATAATGATGCATTTACAAAACCATTAGAACAAAAGAAATGTTGCATGAAATATTGTTTATACAAAGTTAATCTTCAATTAACATTAAATAGATTTAAGGAAATTAAGACAATATCTATCTCTAAAAGTAACTTTTTTTTTTTAGAAATAATCTATGTGAATATTAGAAAACCTGAATTAATTGATGGAACTCTAAAAACTCATATAACTACCAAATATAACTTTAAAGATGCAGAAATTTGTCAAAAAGTCTGACTTTTAATCCATGGTATAGGCACAACATGATGGAAATCATTATAAAAACACTATTAAAAAAATGGGTTTATATAAAAATTTCATAATCTAACAGACTGTAATAGCAATAGTGCAATTTCTTTTACTATAGTTTTATTTGTATTAAAATTTATAATTAATTTTGCTAAAATTCATGAACTTTTATTGCCTAGTTAGTATATATTTAATAATTTAATATTAATACTTAATTTATTGTATATAATAATATTTAAATATTATAGATCATAGTTTTCATGATGATACTAAAGATATTATATTTTTACTATTTTGTGAATCAAAACGATCATTATATTAATTATATAATAACATAACAATAACAAATGAAGAAGATAAGAATATTAGTCTATTAAGCTTTTTATGAATATAAAAAAGTTATCTTCCAAATATTAAATTTATGACACCATGTAGCAATTTGTGCATAATTTGTAAATCAGCAAGATTTGAAGCCAAATATTGGTCTACAGATGAAACAGAACAAAAAATTTAAGAATGAACAAATCATTTTAATTGGGCTGATCTAGAACATGAAAATTATAGATATGTTTATTTGTAATACAAGATAGTAACAAACCAATATATTTTTAAATATTATTTTATTTATAAAATATAGAGCCTGTATATTAAAAGCAAAAATAGCATTAAAATCTTTAGAAAATATAGCACACCCAGGAACTTCTAATACTATTAATATTGAAAACTATATATTTTGGGATTTTGCTAAAGAAATTCAGATTCTATATTCATCCCAACAAGAGAGTGTTATTTATTTTAAATCTCTTTATAAAATAGAACTATTTATTGTATATGAGGAGAGACTTTCTCATTAGGTAATAAGCTATAAATATTAATTATTCAAAAAAATTTTTTTTTAATTTATACTTATACAGGAGTGGCAAGATATGACAACCTTTAAATTAGAGTATCCAGAAATCTGCAATAGCAGAATCTGCACAAAATTCTGCTCTTGTCCTGCTTACTGAATAATAAACTATTGGTAGATACAGTTTATTGTTGATTTTTTTCTAATTTTGGTTTTAAAATATTATTTATACACCATTGCAGAATCTGCAAATTTAACAAAAATTGTAGCAGTATTCTAAACTCTACTTTAAACCATTTTACTTATTATCATTGCAATGATATGTATTTCTGATTTTTATATAAATAGATATCACCACAATGATAATGAGTAAAATTATTTACAAGTTTTTATATTCTGTCATTTATATGAAACACGTATATAATTTGTAAATTAATATATTAAAAATTTAAAAGGTAAGATAAATTAGAGTTAGGGTTAGAGCTAGAATATAGTTTATACTAAAATTTTAAAAAATTTTTTTTTTATTCAAACCAAAAATTAAGTAAAATTATTATTTTATAGATTAACTATTTAATTTCCAAACATGAAAGCATTGAAAAGAGAACTAATTCAGTAGTTTTAGTTGTGCATCATTATTTTACAACATATGGTTTGGAAGAAAAATGTATTACTATTCATGCTGACAATTGTGTCAGACAGAACAAGAACAATATAATGATTAAGTATTTAACTTGACAAGTGATGAATGGTCTACATGATAGAATAACATACAGTTTTATAGTTGCTGACCATACCAAGTTTGTACCTGACAGTTTTTTTGGCTTATTTAAGTTAAAACTTCGAAATTCTGAAGTTGATGATTTATGTGATTTGATGCATGTTGTTGAGCAATCAACCACTGATGATTATAATCAAGTGGATATAGTTATTGACCCCAATGGATTTCGAAGAATTATATTTTATGATTGGTTAAAATTTTTGAATCAATTTTATATTTCAATTCCATCTCTTTTCGAAAAACATCATTTTGTTATGTTAAGCAAAAATTCTGGAAAAGTAGAAACAAGAACACAGGTTGATAAAAACAGAATACAAGTTTCAATTGCATGAATTAGTATGATTCCATGGACTGAAAATAGTGCATTAATTCTTCCAGAACTAATTACAATATATGATATAAGTTTAGAATATGAATGGTACCTGTATAATCAAGTATTACAGCACATTCAGAATCTGAGAAAATGCAATATTTATTGTGTAATGCCCAATGTTCCCAAGCCAAAAAGATCAAAAAATTAAATAGTACACTATTATTTTGGGTATTTATAAATAATTGAAATTGCTATATCATATAAACAAAACCTAACATATTTTGTAAATCCAATACAATTTAAATCAATATTTATAGCTAATTGATAGTAAATTAATTTTCAAATAATTTTTAACAAAGCTTCTTGCTCGATTATTATCATTTTGTTATTTTAATAATAACTATTTAATGATCCTTTAAAGCATTTTAAGAAATAGTTTACCAAAATTTATTTTGGAATTTATGTAATAAGAAAATACATACTGTTGCAGTTATAAAGATTAAGGGCACTGATGAAACCCTCGATGGATATAATTTTGATGGATGGGATAAACCTACAAAAGGCCAGAAGAGTCGCAATGATAGCTTAATTTTTCTAAAAGTTGAAATATATTTCATTATTAAACTTATCGAGCTTTTGATGTAGTATAACTAAAGCTTGAAAATCCCAAATCATTATTTATTATTATTATTAATGTATTTTTAGCATTACCACATAATTGTGTTCAATCAATGTTAAGTCATTAATAATTCAATTGTACTTCACAAAAAGTGGGTTGGAGATACTTTACAATAAAGTATGGTATCAGGTATAAATACTAAACAATACGAACTTGTAAAAGATTCAGAGCATTTTAACTAACATACTTTGATTTACGATAAAGTAAATAAAATATCATAACTTTAGAATTTTTAAAAGTTTTATTAGCTGAATCAACTTTATTAGGCGTATTACGTTTGATATCAGAATAAAACATGTAATACGGACTAGAAGTGTGAACACAATGCTGTAACTTGTAGTAATTATAATGAGTTACGGTAAAAAATTCCGTAACTCATTATAATACGACAAGTTATGGCATTGCGTTCACACCTTTAATATAGACTATATGTTAAGTTCATTCTTTTAGTTAATTGCTTTCTATGGTTGTCTAAACTAATAAAGTAACAAAGCTGATGATTCTAGGGTACCTAAATAAATCAGTAGAAAGTTTTAATTAGTTTACCAGATCAAATTAGTTAACGTTATAGAGCAAATTTAATTAATAACTTAGCTAAGACCTAGATCTCCATCTTTGTAATATTTGGAAGTAACTATAATAGCAAGTCATTATTTAGTTGAGTTAGTGCCTTCGTCTTTTTTTTCCTACACCTCGTTCAAACTTCACATTCTTTCATGATCTAGTAATAAAATTAACATCTTGGCCCATCACCATTATATTGCACAAGTAAACGAACAAAATGTCATTGTAACCATTTAAAAATGATTTTGTGCTGAGTTTGGTGGACATTTTTTTTAACGATTGTGGTTCTAACTAGAGGTGCGATCCGTAAACTAATGGTTAATATAAATAGACTGTATAAGTCGTCAAAAAATTAAAATGATTATGATTGGCTCCGAGTGATACATGGTTCGATTTTGTCGATCATTAGGTCGGATGATTGTCAACATCAAAATTAAAAACGTGATTTTCTCAAAATTGTGATTTTCACGATTTGGTGCGTTTCTATTGACTCACCCCCATATATTTATACAATTAAAGCACCAAACTTAAAATAGGCCAGATTAATGATATATGAAAATAAGTTCGTAATTGATATAAAAGTTTGAATAATACTTGTACAAAATTATAATCTTCAAAAATAATGGAAAAAAAAAATTAAAAAACATGAGTGATGGATCAAAAAACTCAAATTAGAAGGCCAATGCGTTTAAAACGAGATAAAATACCTTGATTCGTTTGATATGATTAAAATCGGTAAGAGTAATAAAATGAATTTGAATTAATGATCATATCAAATCGCTAGTTGAAAAACTTACTAGTTAACGTATGGGCTAATGACTCATTTTGTGATATATATAGGCACTTCTTTAATGTGTGCCAAGTTCGTGGCGCGCAAAAATTCTTTAAAGCTTGTTTATGTTAGGACTATGGTCAGGGTCAGGGTTGGGAATTAGAAGGGAGTAGTTTATACATTAAAATTGCCTAACGAAGCTGTTTTCTTATGCTGATTTTTGAGTAATATATAATTTTTGACAAAACGATTATTGTTTTGAATTTTTTTGATCGTGTTACTTTCTGCTTGATCTTGAAATCTGATTCATAGTTCAGAAAATCTGCGCCACACATTTAAGACGTGCATATAACGTTAATGCGATAAATGATGTGATAAAATTAATATCGGGTCTAAAATTCAGATTAATATAACCTATTCTAAATTATTTATGTTCATATTTTTTAAGTAAAACGTATCATAATTTAATCACACTTAGAAATCATAAAATTGACGTTATTAGCTTATACACCTTGATTGGATAAAGTAAGTTAAGCCATTTTTTGTCTGCTAATTATCAATTCTGGTTCAATGCAAAATTACAAATTAAACATAATCGTACTGTGCGTACGTACATACTCATATAATATTATTCTAAGAATTTCAATACGCTAAATGATGTTATTTTATACTGTATTTGTTTATTCAAAATATTCGATTGTGTTTAAAAGACCAAGGCGATAAAATTATTACAGAAATAAACGTAGACACATGAAAACTAATTACTTTAATTATTTTTACGGGCACAAAAGATCACATATAAGACCAATCATATTCCAATTTTTCCCGATGAGAAAGATAATAGCTGATACTAATCCTGGAGTGTCATGAGGAATCCCAAGTGTATCATCAAAAAGGGCAGCAAGAAAACTATCTATTACAAATATATTAGTAGTGATTACAAAGTAATATACAAAGACTTCAGAAGCTCGTTTATTCAAACAGCACATACAACAATTCAAACATTTCCCACAACAATACCCCATCCCCAATATAACTATTACTGAAAAAATTATGCAAAGTACAACTTGCCACTTAGAATTAATATTTTCTAATTCAACCATAATCAATTGAAACACCGCTACGATACCAATAACAGGAAGAGCGATTGATGCACACACTAAAACCTTATTTATTACTAAATTTATCTGTTCACTCTTCTCTTCTTTCGTTCTCTCTATACGATCATAAGCCATTGTGCAAGCCCATGGACCGAGCCTACTAAATGCAATTAATATAAATTCCCAATTTGCATTGCAACGAATACTTGTATAGATAATCGGCCCTATGGTTGTAATAATTCTAAGAATTTTATATGAAAGATTTCTTTCTTTGGGATCATTCATGTATACTCGCACGGTAGTGATAAGCGCTAATACCCAACCGGCAGCCCCCAAAACACCATACGGTAAACTATAACATAATGCTTCTTCTTTTATTGCACTTAGTCCTAGTTAATAATAATGTTTATATTTTTTATAATTACTTTCGTTCGTCAAAAACTCTATAATAAATTTAATATTCTTACTTGTTGAATTGTAACTATCAAAAAATCCCATTTTGTTATTTTGGTTTCTCCAATATCGTCAATATTAGGGATTTTATAACATTATTCATCATATATTAAAATTAAAGTTATGAAATTTAAAATATTGTACAAATACTTTTTATGTTATTACTAAATTTAGTTGTTGTTTAATTACCCCCCAGTTACCCCCCAGGGTGTATATAACTCAATTATAAGCAATAAATACAAATATTGAGAACTTTATTTTAAGTACTGTTTACTACATTGTCTCGGTCTTAAACATTTATTCTATTTCTCTTCATTTTCTTCGGTTAGCTTCTTGCAATAGTAACATAGCTGTACATTTGTTAGTGTTACACCAGGAAACCCAATAATATTTTTTTGTTTGCATAAATAACGCGTGAGAGTCACGGCGTTGGGGTTAGGTTCGGGATTAGAATAAGCCTTAGTGTATACTAAAATTTTGTGAGTAATTTTTTTATTAGAAACGTTAAAGGTGGTTTCTTATGTAGAATTTTGGGCTAGTGGCTATTATTTGAAAAAACATCGTTTTCATGTTGCATCAGCGGTTACACCTAATCTTGCGATCTAAATAAGACAATTAATTTCCTTATTTGGGTTTGTATCACCGGCACAAATAAGTGTACACCCTCGTTATAAGTATTGGTAACTATTGTTGATAATAATAAATGTATTGTATGTACGTATACTTCTTTCAATTAATATGTTTTATATGGAAACTGATTTTTAAATTTCTCAATGAAATAATAATTTTAAGGTAAAATTTATTTTATATAAATCTACACTTTGACCCTAAAATCTTAAGAAATTCAAAGCCCATTTAAATTCCCATTTGCAACGTGCCTGAAACTAACACCCTACTGAAGTTGCTGCTTCAGGTGCCTAAAATTACAATTAAATTATCGAATCGACCAGTGCGGTTTTCAAATTTGTATGTAGAGTATGTGTGATTTTTAATTTTCCCAATACATATATTCTCAAGTTATAGTTATATTGTTTCATTTTCATATATTTATGGGATAATGGCAATGGGATTTTTCTCACATGACCCGAAAATTTGAAGGCCGACCTAGTCGATTCCCCTGAAGCAACCCTTTCGTGATTTTTGACCAATAAAATTCCAAGATAAGGTGTAACGTAAACAACGAAACCAAAAAAAAGTTATATATATAATAAAATAAAATAAGTAATAACTTGAATAAACCATCTCTGCGGCCTGATTAAAAATGTTTCTCCGAATTTTACTGACAGGCACTAAGTTATTCTGTTCCATGCCCAAATTACAACGCGGTTTTGTAGTTGGTAAAAAAAATCACAGGTAAGATTGCAAACTCCAATCATGAAAATTACAACGTGGTTTTAGAAGGCATTCGGTTATTAATTCAATGCATCATATTGCAAATGTTTTATTCAAATTTTATAAAACGTTTCCTATATGCGTAACGATTTATAACCCATTGCTATATCATCTTTCAAATCCCTAGTCCTATTGTAATAAATTAGTCTTCTGGTTGTGTGTTAAGCACCTTTAAATTTCCAAATTGTCTCTCTCACCTCTTCCATAATCATTTTTTCATCACCTTCAATAAATTCGCCCGCGGCCTTTTTGCATTCAATTTCCATAAACAAATTTCGAACATTTTCTAAGGTTTTTCCCATAAAATTTTTATTTACTAAATCTAAAGTATTGCAATCAACATCGTTTGCTAGATGTTTGATCGGAAGTGACCTAGTAGATAACAACTTAAACTTTAAATGTGGGTGCTGATCAAATTTACTGGTTAATGCAATATGGAAAGCCTCATGCTTTGGTGTTTCTTTAGTTGCAATTAATTTATAGCTAGACGAGAGAAGAAAAGAATCCCAATCTTTACGTTGCTGAGAGCTATAATTTCGTGATAACGTTAATACTTTTTCAATGGTTGATGCCATACGAATTTGCTTTCGGATGCTCTGTGAGGTGTATTTTTGTGCTTCAACTAAATATAATAAAGACTTCTGTTAATGCAGGGAAATAAAATAATGTCGAATTAAGTTTGTAACATACTATAATGTAATGGTGTAGGCCAAATTTCGTCTCTGATTTTTATAGCAGTAAGATGATGATTGCTAAATTCTATATATTTTCCAAATAAATCCTCATCTTGAAACGTTATAGTATTTTCTTTGTTTTCAGATATGCAAAAGATTTTTGATTGCTAAAAAAAGATACAATAATAGTCATACTATTGTCATGGTTAATTTAATATACTTCAAAAATGGTTACTTACATTAATCAAAACTTTCTTCAAATCATTCTCAAATGAACGTATGTCCAAAGAAATCCTTTCATTAATTCTCCAACCATTATAAACTGTATAATCATATTTATCAGAATAATCCTTGTCAATTTTTTGATTTCGAAGTTCGCATCCTTTTATCTCAATAATTGTAACTCCTAAAGTGTAATGATCAAATAATCCTCTAATACGTTTTAATAATTCACAAATAATTTCAGAGTAATTTTTCGAATCGCTAGAAATAACAAGACTTCCAGTCCAATTATTAGACCAACAATTAATTAAAATATTTCGAATTAAATTAATAATTGGAGAAAATTTTCCATAAAATGGATGAAAAGATTTCATGATTATTGGAACAGATTGTAAAGTCACGTCAAAGTTGGTAATGAGTCTTTCATGGAAGCAGAGTAAAATTGTAAGGTGGTTAGTGCAAAGTTTGATATTATTCATAAATTGATTGGACAAAGGTTTGTTTTCTGACAGATGAGACGACACTAAACTATATTACATATAAGGCGAAAGAGAAAATTTAATAATTAGATCAATATATAATTAAAATCCGTACACAGTTACCTATTAACGGACTCAAGGTGAGTGGCCAATTTTTTGGTCACTATGCTTTGATTAACCTTTTCCAAAATTTCTGGCATGATTTCATGTCTAACAACTTCCAGTACATCTTTAACTATTTCATTTTTTAACGAACGAACTTGATTTACTACTTCTTTATCAATAGTTTTAATGCCATTATCGGAAAAGTTCAAATCTTTTACGTGATTTTGTAAAAGTTGAGGAAGAATATCATCATTAATAGTTTTAACAAGTTCACATTTTATCTCTTGTCTAATTTGTCTCAGTGTATAGGGAGACGAAATAAGTTCCCATGTATCACAACTCGAAACTTCGGTAATAGATGAATCGTCGTCACTTTGTTCCATATCTTTTAAAAATAAAGGACATGATTTTTTGTTATATGACCTAGTAAGCAAATTTGAAATTAATTAAACGAAAAATCCTTTATATATAATATTAATATCATTGAATCAATCAACACATCACTTTATTACAAAAGTATCTAGAGTCGTTTTTGATACATGTATTCTAAATTTAGGCAACTTATATCTGAGTTTAACTGATAAACTAGTGTACGAGTATTAATAAAATTGGTAATTGATATTTCCACACCATTTTTTGATATTGCCACACCCCTGCTAACTCTAAACCTACCAAACCCCTAATAACCTATATTGATGTTTATAAACAGGGGTGTGGCAATATCAAAAAAGGGTGTGGAAATATCAACTTCCTAAAAATTAATATGCTAATTTTATTATGAAATCTGATGGCCAAAATCGCTCGATTTTAATGAAAACAGCTTTAAATCGAATTAGCAATACTATATTTATCACTCTGGTTATATCGACATTTTTGAAACATTAGTAAAAATTTACAAAATGTCGATATAGTGAGTTATACTGACATTATATGGGCTAGGTGCTGGAGAAAGGGACCAAATTGACAATAAATAGATTTTGCGAAAAATTGATTTTTTATAAAATATGTATTAACTCATAGGAAAATACAGATTTCAAAAGATTATACTGTAAAATTTTATTAATGCAATAGTATTTCTTTCTTATCTTTCTTAAGTAAAAAGTTTTTCTAAGCTAATTTTAAATTAATCAAGCCTAAAAAATTCATTTTGAAAATCATTAATTTGGTCACTTTTTTCAGCACTTAATCCATATATTAAAATTTTGAATAAAAATGGTGGTATAGAAAGATTTTCCTAAGAATTTATTATATCCAGATGTCAGTATAACCAGATCAACGTGTATTATAAAGATATGGTTGTTTTTGGTTTGTTGAAGTGGTTAAGAGCTAATGCTACTTAGTTTTAACTAATTTGTAGTAACTTCAATAACTAGTTTAAGATGTTTTCAGACAAACTGAGTGTCCTTTTCAGTGCCATATTTTTTTTATGTGATTAAATGAAAATGATAAATGTTACATTTTAATCTTTGACAGTTTTGTTTTCTAATGTAGTAGATTTAGGCTGGAAAAAGTAAGTAGTCAAATCTAACAGGTAGATTGATTCGACGCACAATGTTATTAGTAGGTTAATGTATAAAAATAATGTTATTTAAGAGTTTATATGTACGTACGTATGGGATCGATCTCTAAAGATTGGGTATTACGGAAATATGTACTGTATGAACTGATATGTATGTAATGTATACTATTGTTTGTATAGTTGTATAACATAAATTATACATACATATTTCGCAAACTCTACATTACATATTTTTTTAATTAATTATTTCGTGATCTTTACATATTTTCAATCATATATGTTGATAATAATACATATATATTGTGCATTGCGCTTCTTTAATAATTAGACAATATGATCTAATTCTTTTCTCATTTTTTTATTAGCTAATTCTAAAGCTTCTATTTCAGCTTCCTTTCTTCGTAGCTCAACCTCCTTTTCATGAATAGCAATAGCTCATTCTTGAAGTTTCATTTTTTGTTCTTTGATTTTTAATTCATGTGAATTATTTGATTCTAATACAATTTTAGATCTTTTATTTGATGTCATTTCTGTTTCCGAATCTGAAAGAATTGTAATTATATCTTGTGATCTTTTTGGTAATTTTTTTTTTGATTTGGAATTGTTGAAATTTGAAGATTTGTTTTTGTTTTCTAATAACAATTTTAATTGTAAATTAATAAATTATATTTATATTTAATGTAAAATTTATATACATATTTATATTTACTTTTACATGTCATAGCAATTGATTTACATTTAATTTTTCCACTATTACATTGTGTAATTGGTACACCAAACTTGATATGAACTTGTATTCGATTAATGGTTATTTCATCTAATTTTTTTCCTCTAAATTAAAATTTATATATTATATACATATTAAAATTATATATATTATATACATATTAAA